GAATGAAAAAGGTTATACTTGTGGACATGAGCCAGATTCTGTGGAATTTAGTACACTTGGAGGATGGATTTCAACAAGGGCATCAGGTTTGTATCGCAGAGACGTTTTTTATATTTTTTATTGATATCAAATTTGTCATTTTCAGTCACAATAGTCAATAATTAGAAGGCATCATTTTACTGTGGAATTATTGCTAATTGCTTCGTGAGGAAAAGTTGAAGTTGAAAACGCGGTTCCTTTTGCTAAGATAGCTGTTCACGTGTTTAGTTTACTGCCCTTTAATTTATTGATACGCTTATTGATTGATATTAGTTATGTAGTACAATAAAGATTGAGAGAATGGAAAAACTTTTAATAGATAGGGAAGAGCAGTGCTTTTCAGGGATGAAAAAAAATAAATATGGCAATATTGAAGATTTGCTAGTTCACGTTTCGTTTGTCACTCCAAGAGGAATTATCCGTAGACAGTGTCAAGTTAGTATTTTACGTTATTTGCTTTTTTCCTACAGTTCTATTGAAATTTGTTGAAATAACGTTTGCATTATTATTTCTTAAAAGTTTTTCTCTTTGCGTAGGTTCCACGAATATCCGGTGGACCAGATTTGCAGCAAATAATTCTTGGTTCTGAAGGGATTTTCGGAGTAGTAACGGAAGCAACAGTGAAAATTTTCCCGAAACCAGAAATGAAGAAATATGGTTCATTCTTTTTTCCAACCTTCGAACAGGGTGTAAATTTCTTTCGCGAAGTTGCAAAGCAGGTTTGTGTAATTCTTCCATAATTGCTTCCGAGATTAAATAATGTAGACGGATTAGGATGGAGGAAAATATGTTAGATTTTTGCAGCAGAAAATTTCACTTATCTGTAAAATGTTAGACAGATTTCTCCTGCAAATTGTATGACAGATTTATTCCTTTCTCTGCAGCGCTGTCAATGTGCATCATTACGATTGGTTGACAATGAACAAGTCTTGATGGGACAAGCATTGAAAACTTACAATGGCTCATTATTAAAAAGTTTAAAGCATGCTTTGGAAAATTTATATGTCACAAAATGGAAAAATTTTAAGGTAATGGCTTTATGATATTTATCATTCTTTTATCTAAAATAATATAATTACATTTCATCCCAATTATCACACGTAACGAAGGATTTTAATAATAAAATCTTGTGGAGGACAAAATCTCAGTGATAAAATCTTTTTTTCGAAAAAAACAAAAAACTTGTTTATAGTCAGCCAGGAAAAAAATTTTTTAAATGTTAAAGAAAAGAAATATAAAAACTTTTTTATAAACAAACATATGGTTGTTTTAGCATGTTTTATTGTTTCAAATGGTAGGACAGAAGCTATTTTTTATTACAGAGTAATAAAAAGGAAACTGGGAAGTGCAGTTGTATTTGAAATTTTTTGAAAATCTCTTATTTTTTGAAACTATAGATAATTAATCATTTATTTAAGCTGAATGAAATTGTGGCAGCAACTTGTGTTTATGAAGGAACAAGAGAAGAAGTTAACAGTGAAGAACGGAAACTTACCACTTTGGCAGAAAGTATGGATGGTATAAGTGGCGGTGCTGATAACGGGGAGTATGGTTATCGGTTAACTTTTGCCATTGCATATCTTAGAGTAAGTTTTCGTAATAATTTCTGATTTAAAAAAGAATCAAATTAACAAGCATATCTTTTAATGAACGAAATTTTTTCTTTTCTTAACTGCAATATAACTAATGGCCCGTTTTTTACTTATTTTTTCATATTTAGCAAAATTTTATGCAATTATTAAGTTTGATGCATTAGCTTATTTTTGCACTTAACAAATAACCTTTTTTTCGCCCTTATTCGGCATCTTTTAGTCTTGTAATCATTGTCTTATTTTTATTGTCTGACCAGAATTGTTAGATTGAACAACGACCTCATTGTTGCAGCTTTCTTTTCAGTTATTAGATTTGAGAACTTTCCTGAATAGCATAGAGAAAAATTTATGCAACTTCCGCAGAATGAGAGAAAATGAATTTTTATTTAACTTTATGCGTACTCGATGGTTATTCTAATTGTTATTCTTTTTCTTTTTAATTGTTATTTTTTCCCTATTTACTTTCTGGATTTTTATTAAATATTAATAAATTTTCATTTTGAAATTACTATATGAATTTGTTGCAATATCAGTTCAGTTTTAACCATTACATTTTAAAGGATTTTGGCATGCAATTTTCAATAATGGGCGAATCGTTTGAAACATCTGTTCCATGGGATAAAGTAATATTTCTATGTCGAAATGTGAAAGAAGCGATCAGACGAGAAGGAATAGCAGGTGGTACGATATTGCCACCTCTCGCAACCTGTCGGTAATTATTCCAATAAATTTTCAGTTAGATATTTTTAATGCTGTTTAAATTCAATAAACTCCCTGCTCAAAACAATAAGAAGTTTCAATTGTGGTTGTAAACATTTACTGGTGGAATACTTACTGCTTCAGATCAACGAAGTTAGTTAGATTATGGAGATTTTTTTTTGCTTTTTTTTGTTGGAGGAATAAATTCGAATTGTCTGAAAATGTTTTAATCAAATTAAATATGTGGCATAAACGCATATTTTTTTTTGTAATTTTACAATAATTTCTACTTGCCGACTTTTTTAGGTTTAAGTAAAAGCAAATGTATGAAATTTACTTCATATATTCTCTTTACGTTACATTGTGTATATTTCATATATTTCTATCCTTTAATATTGTCACAAGTGTTATGTTTAATATTGTCACAGCAGGGCACAATTATATTTCATTAAAATAACCGAAACTATCCTAATTACATTTCATTAAAATAACCGAAACTATCCTAACGTTGAACCATACTGGATGATAGAAAGAAATGCTATTTCCAAAAAAGCATTTTTTTTTTCAATAAACGCCGTTTACATTTAGTGAACTAATTGCATTATATTTAGAAATATAAAATTTCTTTCAGGGTAACACAGATTTATGATTCGGGTGCCTGTGTATACTTTTATTATGCATTCAATTATGGTGGCATACTTAATCCTCTATTATTATGCGATCAGATTGAGGTATTTTTTGTTTTAAAGAATATTTTTTCTTGTTAAAAAACGATTTATTCATTAAACTTTCTGAATTTTCTCTTGATCTCAAAATGATTTCATAGCTCTTTTTTTTTCTCAAAAGAAGAAAGCATTTAATCATCATAAGAAATTTCTTAGCTATCTTTTTTTAGAAAAAAGCACGTGATGAGATCATTGCTTGCGGTGGAAGTATATCACATCATCATGGCATCGGCAAATTGCGGAAGCATTGGTATCCTGCTAGTGTTGGTGATACTGGATTATTAGCAATTAGAGCACTAAAAGAGAAACTTGATCCTAAGGTATATTCCTTTAGGAATATCTTAATAATATTTGAAAGTTATCGAAATTTTTCTTCATTGAAATTTCACTTTTTCAAATGTGTAAATTAAAAAATTTCTTTGATTATAGAATATCTTTGGAAGTGGAAATATAATCGATTTTGAAAGGGAAAGAAGCAAATTGTGAAAGGAGCAAAAATTATTTTAGCAGTTCGAAATGATACATTTTTCATCATTGTTTCTCCAAGAGTCTTTTTGATTTTATTGTTTATCCATCTTGTAAGACTTTTTTGTTATATTTGTAAAACTAAAAGCATTATTTTATTTGCTTCTATCGTTTTTCAAGATGAGAGTCGATCTGGAAATCTGACAGCTAACATTACATAAAAAAAGTAAAAATGGAGATGAGGTGCCTTCTATGTAGTTTCATTATTTCAGGTATTATTGTTTTAATCGACTCTTTTTTTGTTTTATTTCTATTTATTTTCTGTTTTTGTTTTATTTTTCTTTTGCCATCATTTTTAATTCTTTCATCTTTTAATTATCGTTCGCAAAATTATCACATTTGATAATTAAAAGTTATGAAAAAAAACCTAATTTATAATTTTAACTAACTACCTCCATATTTTAATTTATTATCTTTACGTCATTGTTATATGCTAAAAGTCTATTTGAATCCTACATTTTGCTATTTGCATAAATAAAATTAATTATTTAGAATTCCGATGTTCTAAAATGTACGAAAAGGTGATAGGCCGTTTAATTACTTTGCTTGTTAGTCATAATCATGCTTATATAAGAGATTATAGAGCGAAGAAATTATATAAGAGAAGATTTTTTCTTTTATCTTTTTACTTATTAAGTTCAGGTAGCAAAAAAAAAGTTCACGAGGAAGAATCTAATATTATAAAATATTAATTTGTAATATTGATATTACTAGTAATTATTCAAAAAAAAATTAATTCACTGAAAATGAAATATCATATAAGAAATATGAGAGACGAGGAGAAAGTGGGAAAAAAGAAATCAGAAAAGATAAGAATGATGTGACGTAAGGAATATTGACGATTCATCATCGTGATCGATTGGAAAATTTCTAAGATAGTTTGATATTAATGGAAATTTTTCAGATAGTTCAAATGTTAAAATTTGAATTAAAATTCACATCAGTATTATTAAAGCAAAAACTTTAGTTCATCCATGAATAAACCGAACAGAATTTTCATAGTCATTTCGAAAGAGATATGAGTATTGGATTTTTTCCGAATTACAACAGCAAATTTCTGCTTAATTAGCATACTTACATAGTTTGATAAGTGGTTTGCCTTCAGTCATTAAAAAATATTTGCAAATACTGGTTTAATTTTAAAAAAGAATAGCTAAAAAAGAACTGGCCATTTCCAATAGAAATCGATGAGTATTAATTCATTGAATAATGAGGATCGAATTATCAGTAATGACTAAGTCCGATGTTTTAGTTAATTACTTTTTTTTAAATTTTAAGTAAATCACTCAGTATACTAATGTTTTCGATTTAATTACTCGATTATATTAATGCATAAATGATTTATACGAAAAATTCGAATTAAAGCATAAAATTTTCAGGTTTTTCTTTTCTGTACACTCTGACAATATATGCAAATTACGAAGTGGCATGTAATTTGATGGAAGAACGAATCGATTATCAATCGTCCAGCGAATAATTTTATAGTATAATTTTTGAGAGGAAAATTTACATTAAATTTTCAACACAATGCCGATGCTACCATATCACGTTCCGAAAACTTTGAAACATCTAAATGTCACATGTAAGTTGTGTTTCAATGATTAAATTTTTAAATAAATGATTTAAAAAGAGTAGCTTTGTTTTAAATTTGATCAAGTCTTAACACTTCTTAAAGCTCTTCTAAAATTCTATCCTTTTTCAATTTTCTGTCTTGGTAAATTTTGGTTTATGTTGGTATTGTCATTAGTTGAATGACTGTAAGTATTTGATAACAATAGATGGACATCTAAATGAGTTTCGCGATTATCTTAATACCTAAATTAAATTAATAATAGTTGTAATTAGCTGCCAATATTATTACTTATAATTAAAACGCTAACAATGGCAATTAGTTCATTAGATTATTTATACAAGATTGATTACAATTATTAGAGTAAGATCTTTATTTAACTTAAGCTGTTATGGTTTCTTCCTGAAATAGTTCGGTTGAGTTTTGTAATAACTAATATACCTTACTTGTTGTTACAAAAATTTTTTCATTCACCGATTTTTCTAATTATTGTAAATGATTTTTTTTCTTTTTAAATAAAGTTTAATATTTCGTTGTCATATTTCACCAGCATTCTCTTTCCATTCAGTTATCTCTTTTTGTAATTCAGGTTTGAAATTTTAAGATATTAAAACTTATATGAAAAGGAATTTTAAGGTTTATGCATGAAGTACAACTGCAATATTTGGTATTACAATTTCAAAAATTTTCATCCCATCAATTGAATATGACACATCAATGTTAGGGCTTTGATTTATATTTTAAATAATACTTTGTATAAAGTGTTGTAATTATTATTATTATTTAGAACTTAGAAGTGCTATCATTTCTTGGTGAAATCGAAGGAAAATTTTGGGGAATTTTAGAAAAAAAGATTTGAACTTGAAAATATGTAATAATTTTTGAATTTTTTCCAGCAGCTTTAACATCGGTACAAGAACTTCTTCCGCCGCTGAATAATAACCTAAAGAAGGGTGAATGTGGACGAATTGGTGTTGTTGGTGGCTCGTTGATTTATACTGGAGCACCGTATTTTTCGGCTATTACTGCGCTAAAAGTGGTACTCTATTACTTTGCATAACTTCGCACATATATTTACTCATTTAGTAACTTATTCACCTTATTTTATTAAATTCAGTACTTTGTTTTCTTAGTCAGCTCCATTTAATTACTCTTCGTTTATTTCATCCATAGATTTAGTGATTTATTTTTCTTTCATTCTCATTTACAATTCTATCAAGAATTATATTTCATCTTTTGAGATGTTTTCATGCATTGATTAGCAGCAGTAATTTGTTTTCTTTAGATTCATGAACAGGATAAGTCTAAGTTTATTGAAAGAGATCACTTGGAATATAGAGAAGAGATATTTCAAAATCCTAGTGAATGCGAAGGCAAAATCATGCTCTTCATAACTTTTTTCAAGTGTTCTCGTCACATATAGTTCATGAAATTCATATATTTGAATTTTTGTATTTTTACTTTATAGTAAAAATGCAAAAAAAAGAAGAAATATATACATTTCAAGCGTAAGAAATATATTCGTTTTAAACTAAAAGTTTCAATTATATTTTCTATTCTTTATACTTTTGACCTCTGCTTTGCTTTATTAAGTTTCTTAATTCTGTTTCAGTTAATTGATTAGAAGTGGAAATTTTATTTTTCAGGGATGTGATATGGTACATGTATTTTGCCCAGCTGAAGCAGCAAACGTAATCAAAGGATATAGCCCAGAGTTAATGGTACATCCATCATATGATAAGGATGCAATTACAGAATCATTGCATCGTGTAGATGCATTTGTCCTAGGACCAGGTCTTGGAAGAGAAGAAAAAACATTATCGGTTGTAGAATTTGTAATTGAATCAGCTAAAAAAAAAAATATACCTGTCATTGTGGATGCGGTACGTTTTTTTTTTCCCAATAGAGTAATATTAATTGATTGATTTGAAACTTACTTGTTTAGCTCATAAAACAATAGTGATTGTTAGTGTTTTTACTTTCGGAATAGTGTTTATGAGGCTTGTTTGTTTAGGTAATAGATCACTAATAATTGATGTGGATAAGGTAAAAATTGATGTTACAAAAATTTAGCTCTATTGATTTATTTTTGTTTCCTTCATATAGGCAGTATTTTGTTTTTCAGAAAATTCATTGTCTTATTATTCATAATTTATCTCTGTTTAGCTAATAAGTTTTTTTTCTTGTTAAAGATTTTATTCAGCTAATGTCTTTAGTGATGCTTTCATTTTCTTTTTTTTGGTTAACCTTATATAAATCTATTTTATTTTCCATTTTATATTATACATGAGTGATATAATCTTTTGTTTCATCAATTTTAAATTGATTAGTTAGTTGCGTTTAATCACAAATTGATATTAATCGGGCATTAATTTTCTTCAAATTTAGGACGGTTTGTTCTTGCTTGCCAAGAATCTGAATATTATCCAAGGTTACGAGCAAGCAATATTGACTCCAAATCACTCGGAATTCAATCGTCTCTACCAATCAGCTTTCAAAGTAGACAAAATTGATAGAGCGAAAATTGAGTCCGGTGAAGCAGCATGGGAATTAGCAAATCATACTGGTTGTACAATACTTCAAAAAGGACCTCACGATGTGATTACTAATGGAGAGGAACGTGAGTGAATGATCTCATTTAACCATCTCAATTTCAAAAAATTAAGTTTGATAGACATTGTACTGAATAACTGGAATTATCCATGATCAAAACTATTCTTAAATAAATTAAACTTTAAAAAGTGTGCTTCTGTTTTAGTTTGTCGAGAAGAATCAGTTGGTTCACCGAGACGTTGTGGTGGACAGGGAGATTTGCTTAACGGTGCATTAGCAGTTTTCTCATATTGGGCTCTCCGGTAATTATTATTCCCATCATTTTATGAAGCATTGTAATGCGCTATATTTTTTGATTGAAAATTAAGTGACATAAGTCTTTGATCATTTTCTTTTTCTTTTTTTCAATGTTACTAAATAAAGGTGTTCTTTAGTAATAATAAAAAAGGCTATAACAGTGCTAGGCAAATCATAAGACTTCTTAGCAATGAATAGTTTTGAAAAACTATTAATTGTGACATCACCACATTTGGAAATAAACTTGCAACATTATCGGGTATTTTCAAGTTTATAATTGATTTTTCTTCAGGAAAAATGATTCAAAACCAATGATTTCTGCTGGTATTGCTGCAAGTCAGCTTATTCGATGGGCTGCAAAAGTATCCTTTGAAAGGAATGGAAGATCGTCTACAGCCAGTGATATGATTGCTGAAATACCGGGACTGATAAGACTTTGCGAGCCATAAATATATGCTTGTCGAGATTGAAATGATCAATGTTTTCACTTTTTTACATTGATAAGTATGGGATTTTGGAAATCCTAAACTCGATTGTATGTAAGATTCTAAAATTTACAAAGAAGTGCTGATTGTTTTCATACAGTCCTTCTAAATTTTTAATTTATTTCACTCAGTTAATAAAATTGCATTAGGTCACGATTTTCTCTAGGAGATTTCTTTTAGAAAGCCGTCTACTTCAACTGAATGTATAATTTAAACCAAATTATGTGTGCTTTCTATATTTCTGAATACCGGATTAAGCTCAAATTTAGCACATTCCAATATGTATGATGTGCAAATCTTTCAAACATCCCATGTGTATAAATAAAATTTTTTTTTCAAATTTTTATCTATAAAATTTTGGCTTTTTGGTTAATCGTTTTAATTTTGGGTAAATATTTCTTTAACAAAGTGAAAATAAAAGTATATTTTTCAGCTTTTATTTCTTCTCTCACTATTTGCTATTATATGCTATAGGTAATATATAAAATATACTTTTAAAACGTACAAAACATTTAAAATTTTATCATAATAGTATTTACATTTTTCTTTAAAAGGCAAAAATTCTGAACATTTATTATTATTCATCGATTATTCATTCATTCTATTGATTTTATATCAATACATTGTACACTTTGCTCATGATATTGATGAAGAATTGACCAAAATTCCAAAATATCTTTCTAAAAATTATTCCAAAATGCTTATATCATTTATTACTTTTTTGTCTTAAGCAGTTAAAAAATGATATAGTATTATTAAGAGAAAAAAATTATAATTTTATCAAATTATTAAACTAATATTATAATCATATAGAAGAAAGATTTTGTTAATTTTTTTAAAAATTAATTTGTTTATTTATAGGAAATTATACCAAATGAATCGTTTTAATTTTGGGTAATTCATTGAGTAAAACGATAGTACGCTGTGCTTGTCCATCAAATTCCTCAACAGCTTGCTCATAAAGTATAGCATATTTTTCTATTTTTTCCGTTGTATTTGCTACTTTCACTTCATGTTTCATGCAATCCATATCTGTACGTGCCCTGAAAAAAAAAAACGATCACGTAATTCATATATCACATAATTGGTATCATTTTCATGAATGTAACAATTGATTTAATAAATATGATCGATTTACTAAAATGAAACGATTGCTTGAATTGTTTATTGAATGATTCTTACACATTTTTATTATCATTAAATATGTAATATGTATGGTTAATTTATCGCTATGATAAACTTCAAGTAATTAATGTAAATCTTGTAATAATTTAAAATTTAAAATTTTAAAATAGTTTTTTAATATAATAATGAAAGAAATATTTTATCACATAAACCATATCAAAATACCATTTATTAACATATTGATTGATACTTTTTCAAAAATTCTATGCATAATTTCTGAAGTACTGTTTAAATACTAATTTCAAAATTGGCTAAATTGATTTTTTTTGATAAATTTGTTTGCTTACATACTTTTCCAGTTTCTTTCGTTCACCCATTAATTCTTTATATTCCATTGTGAAAAATCGTCGTAAATGTCGGATTGCTTTACGTCCATTTAACTAAATTAAAAGATGTAAAAATTTTTTGAGAAGTCCTTTTTTCTCTGAGGATATAAAATAGAAACTTATTTCTGAAACACGAATATTTCCTAAAATTTATTGAAATTTTAAAAAAGTTTTGCGGAATGGAATTTTTCGAAAACTTTACGAATTTTAAAAAAGAATTCTAGAATGATTTAAGGGAAAAAAAAATGAAAAAATAATTATGAAATGATAGCTTCGTGAAAAAAAGAATGATTTTTGTTTTGCAATATGTTTATGATAAATTTAAGTTAAATTTTCCTTTTCTTTCGGAATCATTTAAACTATCGAGATCGATGTGAATGAATTATAATTATGGATGGTGATCCGGATAAACATGATGATTTGCAAGAATTATGTTATATAGTTCGAACTTTTTAATGCGGTAAGATTTGTTAATATAAAAGTGATTCATCAATGGTAATATCGGTAAAAATAACAGAAAGAATCAGAAATAAAATTTAATTCTGCCAATCCATGGAAATGAACAATTGTTGAAATAAAACAGATTGAAATTAAAACATTCATTCAGCATTTATGGAAGTAAAAAATGTTGATATTAATATTCATTATGTAAAAAAAATTTTTTTCGGCAATATTAACAAAATTTGAGGTGATCTTTTTAAAAAACAAAAAAAAAGTAATTTTACTTGATTTTCACGTTGTATTTTGGCTAAATTTTGTGTGATTGATATCAACGATTGAATATTTGGAATTTTATCGGTTGGTAAACAATTGTACAACAAAAAGAATGCATTTGAAAGTTTTTCATATGGATTTTCATTTGGAATATCAACAATCTATAATGCAACATTTAATAACAGTCAAAATGATATTTAAATATTGATGAATGCATAGTTATTTTTATTATCATAATTATTCATTTAACAAAATAAGTTAATAAATTATTTGATTATTTGTGAAATTTTACCTACTGCATAAACATTTTCTGCATCAAAACAAATATTTGATATTTAAATTTTAGTATTTTATAGATTTTTAATCCGCTGCATCTGTCATTCTTTCCGTTTCCTGTATTTTTTTCATTTTTTTTTCTATGACTTTTAAAGAGGAAAAAGAAAAGGAAGAAAAAAAATAAGAAGTAAAAGATCACATACTTTCCCGTTAGCAATGGTATTCTTGTTTTGTTGAATGCATGCTTCCAATTTTTCCACAAGTACATCATTACTTTCTTTGTAAGTATCATAATTTTTAGTGAGTTCAAGAAATTCCGGACTCATTTGTGTTTTTTCTATGCTACCCAATCGATCACCAAATTTTGACCAAAGTCGTCGAATACCACCAATTTCTTAAATGCAAATATTTATCATTTTGAGAATGATTGGTGACAAATTTTTGTAAATTATTTTAATCAATCTTTCTTTTTTGTAACTTTTTTAAAGAAATTTTTTAACTCACTTCTCTCTCATCTTTCCTAATTCTATTTTTTTTTTATCTTTTTTCAGATTATTATTACTTTTTAAATTAAAATCTTTCGCAATTACATTTTTTTGTTGTTCTTTTGTTTCATAGAATATTAGTAAATTGGTGCAATTATAGACGTTATTCATTGTTTTTTGCCATTGCTCAAATAATTTTTTAATTTCAGAAAAATTTAAATCCGCCAAGAGAGCACTTAAACTTATGACAAATGAATAGGTAATAAAAAAGGGACAAATAAATTCTATGAACAAAATTTTCAATTTAAAAAAAAGATTTTTTATCAGATTTAAATTTAAAAATTTATTTAATGCATTTTTTGCAAACGCTTCATCTCTTTTCAGTAATTACTGATGCAAATTATCGTTGAAAGATTCCAAAATTGTCGTAAATTATAATCATTTCCATTTCCATTCATTTCATGCTATCACTGAAAGCAATGATCCGCAAGTGTTACTCACTTTGATCGCCCATAGTTAAAAAATCTTCGTCGGAGAATTGCGACACTAACACTTAAATTGATATAACAATGATTTTTCAATCAAATTCATAATCCTTTTATACATAATTTATGCTTAGAATTAAAAAACTGCATTTAAATGTATAATTTATGCATAAAATTAAAAAACTGCATATAAAAATATAAATTACGAGTGAATATATATGAATTTTAAAAAAAGTTCTAATTTTTAAATTTACATCATTCTTTCATCACAATTTAATTTTGCCAGCATTGTTTATGAAATTCCTTATTATTACCATCATTATTCTTATTATGTATTATCATTTTATCGCTATTACCACCATTTTATCATTATTATTATTACTAATATTATGTCAGAAATCGTTGTCGATGTTACTTCGGTTATATTACCATTCTTTTTTAGTGGGAATTTTGAAAATATTACTTTCAAAAAATTTCAACTGTTACCGTTAGTTGAAATTTATTTGTCAGTTTTGTTGCAAAAATTTATTGTACAACTTTTCTTCGTCTTTTTCCTCGGCCTTCTTCGATGTGATTTACGGGCGAAAAATATTTTTAGCTTGTCAAACATTGATAGAAAAAAATTGTAAGGAAAGGGTTAGTTGGAATGAATTGTTTTAACATTCTTTGTTCCCGAAAACTTTCCTGTAATTAACAAAAAAAAACCTTTCCAACAAAAATGTTATTTCATGTATCAACTTTATTCAATTT